CCGCAGTTCAACTTGGTTGGAAAGCTTTCTTGTTCCGAAAGCGGGCTTGGTCCAGAGTGCGTCTACGGACAAACGATGGTGTATACGCATGGATTTGCCAAGGATCACCCATGTATGTCTCACAAGCTCGGCTTTGTCTGCGTAGTGTGCAGCTAGGTTTGCGGACCTTACAGTTTCACCCTTAGCCAATGAATGAAGATTCTGATCAGCGTTCTGCAGTTCATAATGACCTTGCGCAAGAGTTTTTGCTGTGCACTTTTCGAGCAGTCCTATATGGCATGTTGTATGCTTACCTACTGCGCCACTTTATTGACTTTTCGGTTCAATCTAGCTCTTCTGCTTTGTTGATTTGGAGAGTTTTCGTTCTGTTGATTAGAAGACTTCTTACGCCATGTCTGGAGTCAATTCCCGGGACATTCTACAAATCATTCAAGAGTTGAGTCCTGGCAATCGCCAAGCTCTATACCGAATTGTGGTGAGTGCATCTACGAATCCTACTGTAGGCCGACTAGTTTCTCGGCTTCGTGCACAAATCGATCAAGACGTTGCAGATGCTATCAATCAGGCTTCTGCGTCACGTTCTTCTTCCAGTTCGGGATGTACTAACAACTTTGAGGGTCATGAGCCGGTGGTGCCGAAGCTTCCTGCTGTTCCGCCACCTCCACTTCCTCCTCCTAGTACACCTCCACCTACGTCCGGTGTTCGACCTGTTGGAGTCAGCATGTGGCCTCCGACAGCAACAACAGTAGGTACTTCTAGTACTGAGCACGTGGCCGGTCATCATGTTTCCAGTGTGCCTTCTAAAGCTCGTCCAGCTAGTCTCACCAGTAGGAGTGATCGCAGTAGGTCCCCACGTAGGTCATAATTCGGCTGTGATGGATGATCTTCCTTTTGGCGTAAAATGATCACCTCTGCCCTCGTCTATGTATTAGAAGCTGGTATGTCTGTTTGTGCTGCCGCCGCAATGATCTTTCCAATTCATGTACGTTTGTGTTTTGGCTTAGGTGGTGTAGCTGCTGTTGTGTTCCCGACACCCTAGGACTTGATAGTTTTGGACATGTCGTTTCGAGGATCTTCCGGAACCTATGGGCGTTCATGGTCATCCAATTCTTGGAGTGAGCAGTCATCCAGACCTTGGAATGAGCAATCTTCTCATTCTTGGACTCCTGACAAAAAACCTCGAAACTATGACGAGCCTTGGTCACCTCATGGGAAGCCTGAACATTCTTTGCAACTTCCCAAGGAGTTTCAGACCAACTCAGAGTACTATGACACTACTGAAGTTGGTGGCAAGGCTTTGCCCAGGAAGGTTCTGATGACACAATGGACCTCAAAGTGTTCTTTTGCTGGTCGTGACATTTCAGACATCAGGATTCATGAGGTTTGTTGGCAAGGATGGAAAAATTGGCATCTTCGTCTTTTGAGTGCTGGACAATTTTTAACTGTTGTGTTTTGCCGCCGTGTTAGTGAAGCAGTGTTTGTCAGTCAGCTGCTTTCAGCAATTCGTGAACGCCGTTGGGACCTAGATCAAGTAGCAGCCTCACTTACAGCTCATCAAAAACAAGACGGTGAGCAAATTCTTCCAGTAGCGGAACGTTCTTCTCCTTTTGCCGACAATGTTAAAGTCCAGAACTCGCATCGCATGGCTCAGTTTGTTTTGCAGAAGTTGGAGCCTTTTGCCGACACTGGATCGGGCAGCGACAAAGATCGCAAGATTCAGGATCTAGAGCGGCAGCTAGAGGAAGCTAGGTCTTCTGCCATGAAGCGTTCGGCTACCCCGAATCCTTCCGTTGCTGAACCTTCAAGCAAGCGCCGCATTACTGCCAAGAGCAGTGCCGTGTCTTCCGATCGACTTCGTGCTTATGTTGTTGGTGACCAGCCTCCTTCGGCTCGCCCATTGTTGACTTCTTCCCCCAAGGCGGTTACCCCGGCAAAGGTTCAAGCTTGGATTAATGGTCTGAAGAATGTTTCTGCTGCTCAGAAAAAGCAGATTCAGCAGGCGCAGCAGTTTTGCGAGAACATTCTGTCGTCTTTGACGGAAGAAGAAGTGGCTGTGCTTCCAGATCGTGCTGCAGCATATGGCCTGCCAGTTTCAGTCGCTGCCAAGTGCAAACCTTTGGAGTTGGTTCGCGTCATTTCGGTTGCAGTGCATTTGGCAGAAGTCTGACTATCACCTATGAATGGACAATCTTCTCGACCCTTCGACTGGAGTGACTTGCAATCAGTCTTATTCAGTATGATGGCCCTTCTTCAATGCTGTTTTTATCATGAGATTGAGTATGCGTTACGTATTCCACTGAGAGTCCTTGCAGCATGGTTTTTCGTTTGTTCAGTTAGATGGTCTCAATCTAGTTCGCGGCTGATGAAATCCTGGGTAAAACGCACCAGTCATTTTGTGGGTCTTTCTTTTGGTGAGTTCTACGAACTCTTTCAGACACCATTCGTGGTCTACGCGATCCTGGCGCCTATGTCAAAACAGCCGATGTCTGATCACAGCAGTATTCTACACAGTCGATTATGTTACGTTGGCAGTACGTGGGTTTCAGTACATGACCGTCATGATGTTCGCTGGAGGAAGCTTCGTATACTTCAACTAGATCAAGTTACTAATTGTGAGTTGGTGATGCTTTTCTGGCATTCCCGGAACTGTTTTCATGACTACGTCATTTTCCCCATCAAGCAGTGCTCTGATGCAGTTTCCACCCGTGCAGTTGAATATCAATTTATTCAACTTTGGCAACCCAGATTCAATCATCCTTGGATTCTTCGTCTCAATCCCACAAATCCTGGTCGTACCGCTACCTTGATGACCTTTTCTTCTCTCTTTGCTACTCCTGGTCAACGATTGTGGCAAAAAGTTCGTCGCCGATTGCGTACAATTCGGCAACAAGGTTTTTACAAAGAATCTCTCCTTCGACCAGAACAAGCATGGCACATCCTCATGGTTCTCTCTTCTGACAATGAAGCCTCTTTTCGTATGTCAACCCGACTACGCTCTTCTGAGTTTCACCACCTACATCTTTATGCTTTGTTTCGACTTGCCAATCATTGTGATGATCCTCCACGCACCAAGCTACGCAGTATTATTCGCCGTGCCTTGGAGTTCCGAAAGATGCCGGTGCCCAAAGCCAATGTGCCACTTGTGATACCTTTCTTGGCGACGCCTAATTTTTCTTCACAAGTACGGGGTTTTTTAAATCGACTGGTCAAGCAACAGTATGACTATCTTGTTCCGTTTCACCTGCCCCTCACAAAGCCTGTTGCTGGAAAGCATCGTACAGTGCAACAATTATTGTACAATCATCTTGCTCGTACCGCTACATGGACTTGGGATGTTGCCCCTCATTGTCCTTGTGCTCGATTCCGTACTGATCATCCAGAAGTACAGGTTACCAATGGACATGTAGCTTCCCCTGCAAGACTTCTTCAAGTTTCCAAACGGCTACGTAATATTTTGTCCCATTCCACTTCTTCACAGGTATTCCCTAGTCGGGAGAAGTACATTGCCGAAAGTTCTGGTATTGTCGTACGATGGTGCAAAAAAGTAGGCCTCTTCAATTTCTTGGAACATGATTGGAGGGAGTTTATTCTTCAGCTTTGGCCCCGACATGTGCATTTTGCATGGGAGACCATCAAGATGAAGGACATTCAATTCCTACGTGGGCTTTTATCCGAAGTTGTGGTTCATGGACGAGATCATGCTCTAGGAGAATGCCATGTTTTCTGTCCCAAGTTTCTTTGGGATGTTCAGCGATCCACCTTTGGTGATTTGAAGGTGTATCGACCATTGCCTTTTTCAGTCGCCCAAGCTGAACAGCATTTACTTTCACGGACCAAGGCCAGATGGCTACAACGATATGCCTGGGGCATTAATACTAGAACCTCGTCGTTACCGATTGCGTATCTCCTTTTGAAGAAAAAGAAGCAGTATGCCGGTGCAAGACCTATCATCAGTTATTCTTTCTTCGTATTTGCCAAGCTTTTTCGAGCAGTTGCCATCGTCCTAGATCTTCTTCTACGAGAATGTGCACCACAATCTTTTGGCTTGGATTCTTTTCCTAGGATGATGCAGAAGTTGATCGACTTCCTTGCAAGCGTACCTATTGATGCACGACTTCGGACTTTCAATCAGGATTTGGTTGGTTTTTTCACGTCCATTCCAGTTGATCGCATTCTACTTGCTGTTCAATGGCTTGTTGGAAGGTTTCAAGAGTTGCACTTCGTGGATTTTGACACCTATGTCTTTTCGGTTTCCCTTACTGAGAAGGACACCAAGCTCAGAGTTTGGAAAGGACGTCCCCGAAAAGCTGGCCAGAAGATGTACACCATTGCATTGAAAGACATTGTTCCTCTCTGCCAACTTAGCTGTTCGACTTCTTTCTTTCACATTCTGAACCGAGTTTTTTGTCAACAACGTGGAGCAGCTATCGGCAACCAAATCAGTCCTATGCTAGCCGCTGTATCGGTCAGCTACATTGAACAACAATGGATGGATCGTTTTCAATCTTTGGTTGCATCACAATGCTTTTGCTGTTTGCGCTATGTAGATAATCGATTGGTGCTGTTAGATCAATCTCTCTTACCTCATGCGGCAGTTCGACAGTTTCTTTCTGACCACTTTTACGTTTCACCAGTTGAATTAGAAGCTGTAGATTCTGCTAATGCACAATGTGAGTTCATAGGATTCGATGTCATTACGTCACCTTCTCTAGCGTTGAAGTTCATTATGACCTCTGAAGAATGGAGGTTCAAGCTACCATCTTCTGCAGGCACACCTTCTCAAAAGAAGGCTCTGTACAACAGTAGAAAAGCCTTCATCAACAAGTATGTTTGGCCTCATGAACTCAAGCAGAGTCAGCTTCAGGACCTTCAGCAGTTGTTTTCCAGACGAGGGGTGGTGTAAAAGAGTTGTTGAGCTTCTGTTAGTGCAACAGTTTCTTGTTTTTTGAACTGAGATCTGATTGTTACAAGGTCTTTTTTCTCTCGAGCTGTAGTGTGCGATGTCTTCTGATTCTTGTAATTCCGCCTTGTTCCCCCTTGCACCATTGGAAAGATGGATTCAGTTCACTCAGACCGAGATCATTGGCATCAGAGGAGATTTGGAGCAGACAAAATCCTCCATGCAAGCTGCTCAGACCATTCAGATTCAACAGATTACTTCTTTGCAGGCTCAACTGGATGATCTAAAACGGGCCAATCAAGAAACACGAGATCGTCTTCACCTTTTCCGAGCTGAAGTGAGTGATTGTATGTCTGCGCTGCAATTTCGTGTAGACAATCTTGAACGATCCAACCGGACATTTCTAGATGATGTCGCACTTTTAGGACAGCGTTTGAACGAGATCATTGCTCTTACCAAGAATCTTTGTGAAGAGCTACATCAGAACTTTCCCAATTCGACTAGTTTGAGCGATCTGGATGCAATTAGGTGACTTCAGATGCAAGGCTGAGTAATCTTCCAGACAACCGGCATGACCGGTCGTGTGTGTGTGTGTGTGGAAACTCTGTTTCCAAGAGTAAACGAATCAATGATGGACGTTCAGCCATGCTATAATGCAGGGGGCCAGCGCTCTCCCTGGGGGTCGCTGGCCAACGAAGACATCCCCAGGGAGGGGTGAAAACGTACCTGCAATTTTCCGATCGGACAGCTTGATGTTTCACTCGCTGAGGAATGTATAGAAAAATGAGAGTGTGCTCATTCGATTTCTTGAAATGACAACCCCTTTGAGGGAAATGCCATATGTGTGTGTGTGTGTGTGTGTTTTTGGTGCGCTTCCTTACTCTGGTAGGAATCATGAAACTTGAGCTTGTTTTCCCCAAGCCCTAAACCCTAAACCCTAAACCCTGATAAGTAAGTCAGGCCCTGTACATTATGGGCTACTGGCCACACGCCGATGACGCAAAATTCAGGGCAACAGAGAGTGATAAAACAAACTTAGTACAAAATTCCTGAAGGGACGGGCCGGCAGGTCAAGCTCTGAGCATCAGGTTTTCGGTTGCGAGACTACAAGCAACGCAAGATACGTCGAGTCTTTCTGGCGAGAGTCGCTCAATCTTGCAGGACGTTTCGAATCCATGACGAAGCTACCCGAAACCTGAACGTCGCTTAGGCGAGAAGTCCTGCAGACCCACGAAGACAGGATCCGTGCAACGTCGAAGTGCCTCCCGCACAGCTCAGGCCAAGCAAATAAGTGGAAGGATCAAAGAAGCCAGCCTCCTGCAGCGCCTGTCCTGGCACATGATGGTCCCAACAGGCGATTAATAAGTCTTCAGAGGTCCTTAGCGTCAAGCCCCGGACCCTAAACCCTATGTTAGCCCAAGCCCTAGACACCAAACCCTAGGCTGCGTATTACGAGGTTCGGGCCTTATGAATTTCAAGGTTTCGGAATTAAACCCGAAACCTTAAAACCCCAAACCTGTTATGTAAACCTGAAACCCTGAGCACCTTTTACTGCGGGGGAGCCAAGGAATGGGCGCAGCAGAATCCTGAAGGCGTCTGCTCACTGCCTACCGGCAAGACGCCTGAGCACCTCGAGTCCAGCAGTGTTTCTGGTTTAGGGGGCTTAAGGGTTTAAGTGTTGAAGGATTCCTAAGCGGCGACGGACTGCTCCCAAGAACTGTCATCACACCGTTCAAGGGTTTAAGGGTTTAAGGATGTTTTTGTCTAGAAACGATATGTGCCCAAGGGAAGCTGGAATCTTCTTTTTTCACCATGATTCTAAGGTGATAGAATAGAAAGGAGCCTCGTTGATGAGGGGTTGTGGGATACGTCGGGGTTTATGGGGTGACTGGAGTTCGTTTAGGGGGTTTAGGGTTTAGGGTTTAGGGTTTAGGGTTTAGGGTTTTGGGTTTTGGGTTTTGGGTTTAGGCTTAGGGGTTTACAGGGATCTTTAAGGTTGACAGGGCTGAGAGGGTTTTTAGGGTTTCGGGTTCAGGGTTGTTCTGGGTTCCCAGCATTCCCCCCAACTGCCCCCCAGGGTAGAGACGTGTAGAGACTCCAGGCAGAGGACAGCTTTGCCCCTAAACACCAGGCTTTGAGCCCAAAACGGCTTGGGGTTTGGGGTTTGGGGTTTGGGGTTTAGGGTCCAGAGGGTTCACAGGGCTGTAGAGGGGTTTAGAGGGGTTTAGAGGGGTTTGGAGGGGTTTGGAGGGGTTTAGAGAGTGGTTTAGAGAGGGGTTTAGAGGGGTTTACAGGGGTGTAGGGGATAGGGTGCCAGATTCGACGGGCGCAGGGTTCGGGGTGCCCTGAACCAAATTGGGCCGTCTGGGAAATAGCATCCCGAGAGGCGTTTCTATAAACCCTAAGCCTCACTTAACCTATAAATCTTAGACATGCTAATCTAAAACCTCTACAAGACCCCAGAAGCCCCAAGAAACCCTACAAGCCCATATAAACCGCCCAAAAAGATGGACCCTATGCCCCTAAACCCTTGAAATCCGAAACCTCAAACCCTGAGGTATTTCACCCTTTAAGCCCAAGAAACCCTGCAAGCCTATATACACCCAACAACAGATGGCACCTTATGCCCCGAAACCTAATTGAACCCTAAACCCTAAACCCTAAAGCCTGAGGTATTTCATCAAGTGGGTCCAGCGGATCCTGCAAAACTGGGGCTCCGATCCCATCCAGAAAGAGGTGAAGAAGTACGGGCTCCAGCCCGACGCTCGTCCCAAAGTTTGGGGTTTAGGGTTTAGGGTTTCGAAGCCCTAAACCCTAAACCCTAAACCCTAAACCCTAAACCCTAAACCCTAAACCCTAAACCCTAAACCCTAAACCCTAAACCTTGAACCCGAAACCCTAAACCCTAAACCCTAAACCCTAAACCCTAAACCAAAATCCTGCCGTGAAACCTCTACAACCCCGAAACCCTAAACCCCAAAAGGGTTTTGGGTTTAGGGGTTCTGGTTTTGGGGTTTGGGTCGAGGGGTTAGTTTTTCGGGCTTAGGCTTGGGGAAGCTGGGGCACGAGGGGGGAGGGGGGGGGGGGGCATAAACCCTTTAAACCCTAAACCCTAAACCCGGGGGCCTTTGCCAAGGAGAAGCCGAATCTGGGAAAGCTGACTTTTGTGCAGATCGATGAGTTCTATCCCATCTCCCCAGAGCAGCACAACAGCTTCTATCACTACGTGAGCGCCTCCTGGCCATGAACATGTACGGTCTTAGGCTTCGGGTTCTTAAGCTATCAAGAACTTGTCAGTACCCCTCAACCCCTAAACCGCCCTAAAACCCTAAACCCCTAAACCCCTAACCCTACACCCTAAACCCTAAACCCTAAACCCTAAACCCTACACCCCTCAACCCGGTTTAGGGCAGGGGTCTTCGAGGGCATGCGGTTTGAGTGCAGGCCGTCTTTCGCCCTGAAAGTCGCAGAAACATGAGGAGCCTTCGGAGTTTAGGGTTTAGGGTTTAAGGTTTGGGGTTTAGGGTTTGGACTTTGGGGTTTGGGGTTTTGGGGCTCCCTCAAAAACACTCAAGCACAGAGCCTTTGACAACTCATCCCGGGGTGTCGTGCTTTCAGAAGCCCGGCTCCGAACCCTAAAGACTGGGGTTTAGGGTTTAGGGTTTAGGGTTTATTTAGGGTTTAGGGTCGGGTTCGGATTCAGGGCTTCAAGTCCTGAAGTCTAAACCCAAAACAACCAACCTTAAACCGCTGGGGAGCTTGATTCTTGAGGCCCAAGGCTTGTTTGACCCTCAGCACGACACCGGAGGAACCCCTGCAGCCCTAGAAGAACTAGAACCCTGAACCCTAAACCCTAAGTAGGGTTTAGGGTTTTAAGTCCCTGAACTCTAAACCCTAAACCCTAAACCCTAAACCCTAAACCCTAAACCCTAAACCCTAAACCCTAAACCCTAAACCCTAAACTGAAGCAAGGAGTACTACATCAAGGGCTTCGGCCTGGACCCACAGCGGGCGCTGCTAATGGACTGCTCCAAGATCGGCTACCTGGCAGTCGTCGGCTTGAGTTTTTTTTGTTTTTTTTTCCGGTTTAGGGTTTAGGGTTTAGGGTTTAGGGTTCAGGGTTCAGGGTTCAGGGTTCAGGGTTTATGCAGTTTAGGGTTTAGGGTTTGGGGTATATGCGGCCTAGGGTAAAAACTAAGTGACCCAAACCCTCTACAGTTTCTCTAAACCCTAAACCCTAAACCCCAAACCCGAAGCCCTAAACCCTAAGCCCTAAACCCTAAACCCTGAACCCTAAATTACTAAACCCTAGACCATGAACCTCAACCCCAAACCCCAAACCGTAAAACCCTAAAACCCTAAAACCCTAAAACCCTAAAACCCTAAAACCCTAAAACCCTAAACCCTAAACCCTAACCCTAAACCCTAAACCCTGAACCTCAACCCAATATTTGCTCAACCTCGAGGCCTGGATCTTCGGGAGCCCGGCTATGGTCCGACTGGCGAGCCGCGAGACTACGTGAAGCAGGCACCCTAAACCCTAAACCCTAAACCCTAAACCCTAAACCCTGAACCCTGAACCCTAAACCCTAAACCCTAAACCCTAAACCCTAAACCCGAAACCAAGCCCTCGATGTCGGGCTTTTAGGGTTTAGGGTTTAGGGTCTAGGGTTTTGGAATTTAGGGTTTAGGGCTCAGGAATTAGGGGTTAGGGGTTAGGGTGTATGGAGCAGGGGTTTGAGGGTTTGAGAGTTTGAGGGTTGCACCCTTATTCTAGAAGGGCCGAGCCCGTTTTCATTTGTTCGGTTCATTTCTTCGCCCCGGGACTTTGGCTCCAGGTGAATATTAAGTTTCGGGTTTGTGTTCGATCGTACAGATGGCTTCTTGTGTGGGTTGGGGGGGGGGGGGGGGGTTAGGGTTCAGGGTTTAGGGTTTAGGGTTTAGGGGTTAGGATTTATGATTTATGATTTAGGGTAACCCCAAGCAACTTTAACCCTAGCCTTGCTGGCAAACCTCTGCACAGGCACTGTCCATGGCCGACGTGTGGCCCACTGGTGAGGCGGCTCATGTGCCGACATGTTTGTGGTTTGGCGTTAGGTTAGGGGTTCAGGGTTTAGGGCTTAGGGCTGATTAAGGTTTCGGATTTAGGATGCGGGCGTGTGAGGGTGTAGTGTTTTTTCTGGGTTGGGGTTTTGTTCGGGTTTGGAACTCCACAAGAATAGCATTCCGCAGATCGACTCCCTAAACCTAAATCCGACATTTCCCAACCCTGGACTCAACCTAAGGCTCCATCTGCCTATTACTTTCGGGTGTGATGCCCGAAAATTGGGGGGGGGGGGGTAACCATGTTTCCGGGTTTGGGGGCCACAGGAAAACCTGATCACCCGGACCCAAGAAGTCGCAAAGTTCGTTGTCTTCCAACTGTTCTCGCATAGGCCTTTGGCATTCGCTGATCTTCAGATGCTGGAGGATGCTTTGTTCACTCTGCTGTGCGTCATCCACGAACTCAACCAGTACGCTCTCCAACTCCAGAGGGCGCCCAAGTCATTTGCAGTGCTGGTGGCCCCAGTCCTGAGAGGCCTCTCGGATGAGTGGGCATTGGTGCTGGAGATGGAAACCACGACGGAGCTGAGCTCCTGAGAGCCTGCTGCCCGTACACTCACTTCCAACCGTACCGGGAGTTGATGACAGCTGTGGAAATGCGGTTACCCTTACCGTGTTCAAGAGGCTCGCAAGCAGAAACATGGCTCTGCAGAGGGCAGCCAGACTTTTCTGAACCTTTGGGGAGTAAACCCTCCACACAGCTTCATGGCTGCTGTCTGGGAGAGTTCCGGATACAGGGAAGAGGAGGAGTAGGAGTAGGACTAGGACTAGGAGTCGGAGTAGGAGGAGGTTTGGTCTTGAGGGTTTAGGATTCAGGGTTTAGGAGGAGGAGGAGGACCGAGTCGTAGTAGTGCTAGAATGAAACCAGGTACCGAAGCCCTTCTCTGTCAGGTTTAGGGTTTGGGGTGGGGTTGGTCGTTCTCTTAACTGCCTTTTGGGAAAGTAAGAAGGACCCCTTGAAGCCCAAAAAGTTAACATTGCTCCTCTAGACAACTCAGCCGGTAAGGTGAAGGGAAGGTTTGCCCAGAAGGTCCATTTATACTCGTAACTCGTAACCCATAAACATGGGGTGTTGGGTACTATACTTAGCTCCAGAAGAGTACGAATCAGAGATTTGGGTTGCCCCGACCCCTAAACCCTAAGCCCTATACACCCTAAACCCTAAACCTAATCCCGAATCCCTAAACCCTAAACCCTAAACCCTAAACCCTAAACCCTAAACCCTAAACCCTAAACCCTAAACCCTAAACCCTAAACCCTAAACCTGCAGACAGGTGGACCTGAGCCTCCGCACGCGCGACCCAACGACGCGGCAAGAGCTGCTCCAACAGCGCGTCCTGCGCCAGGCGTTCGTGCGGCCGAACTCGGGTTTAGGGTTTAGGGTTTAGGGTTTGGGGTTTGGGGTTTAGGGTTTAGGGTTTAGGGTTTGGGTTTTAGGGTTTAGGTTTAGGGTTTTGAGTCTTGGCTTTAGGGCATAGGGTTCAGGGTTTAGGGTTTAGGGTAGGATTGTAGTTTTTTGGGGTTGGTCTCGGCTTCGGGGCTGAGTTAGAGGGGTTTGGAGTCCAGAGTTTTAGGGGCTTAGGGTTTAGGGCTTAGGGATCCTAAACTTGCCGAGTTCTTAAGGGAGGGGGCTTCAAGGAGTTTATGTAACCCAAGCTTCCCCGGTACTCCCCACTACTCCCTAAGGCTCCCTGAACTTCCCTAAGGTTCCCTAGGTACCTACCCCCCTTGAACTCCCCTCCCTCAACAGACCTTCCTAAACCCTAAACCCCAAACCCTAAACCCTATAACCCCGACTTGCAGTACACTCTGAGTGGCTTAGGGGCTTTCGGGTCTCGAGGTTAGTTGCAACCCCCAACCTGGAGCCAACCTGCCGGGCCGTACGAGCCTAAATCCGATTTTCTTTGCAGGTTGCCCTAAAAACATCCTATGTGGGGAGGGGGGGTTTTTGTAAGCATAGAATAGGCATGGTTTAGGTCTTAGGGTTTAGGGGTTGGATGTGTAGAGTTCTGCAGGTCGAGGACGCCACGACCTTTTGGGGTCCGGTGGATCGCCATGCAATGCAGACGGGTTTAGGGTTTAGGGTTTAGGGTTAGGGTTTAGAACCTGCACGCGGCTGAGAACGGCAATGAGTTCCGAGACTTGGCGATCAGGCTGGTGCCTTACAAACCTGCACGTCCGGCCGCAGGCAACAAAAGCTGGGCTACAGGATCTTCTGGATGCGCATGAAAAGCAGAAAGAAGCGCCAGACAAAACCCTAAACCCTAAACCCTAAACCCGAAACCCGAAACCCTAAACCCTAAACCCTAAACCCTAAACCCTAAACCCTAAACCCTAACCCTTTAAAGTCTGTACACTTTGAAGGTTGACCAGTGGTGCTCGGAGTACGAGGCAAAGATTCGCGCCCTGGGAGGTGCGGCTTCTGGGCGGTGGGGGGGTAGGGTTTAGGGTTTAGGGTTTCAGGTGTAGGGTTTAGAGGGCTTAGAGGGTTTATTTAGAGGGTTTAGAGGGTTTAGAGGGTCTAGAGGGTTTAGGGGGTCTAGGTTTTGTAAGCCTAAAGAGGCAGGTTCGTGCTTCAGGGCGAGGATTCCCGCGAGCCTGTGCATCTAAGACTCCGAAGCCTTCAACCCTACGGTTTAGACTTTCTGGGGTTTTGGATTTAGGGATTTAGGGATTTAGGGATTTAGGGATTTAGGGATTTAGGGATTTAGGGATTTGGGGATTTGGGGATTTGGGGATTTGGGGATTTGGGGATTTGGGGATTTGGGGATTTGGGGATTTGGGGATTTGGGGATTTGGGGATTTGGGGATTTGGGGATTTGGGGATTTGGGGATTTAGGGTTTTGGGGTTTTGGGGTTTTGGGGTTTTGGGGTTTTGGGGTTTAGGGTTAGGTTTTGGGTTTTGGGGCACCCCCTCCCCAACTCTAACCTCTAAGCCCTGAAATCCGAAAAGACCAGGCCTCCAGTGCAGATAGGGTTTAGGGTTTAGGGTTTAGGGTTTAGGGTTTAGGGTTTAGGGTTTAGGGTTTAGGGTTTAGGGTTTAGGGTGCCTTAAGAACCCTAGAAGCAGAACTCTAAACTCTATGCCCTGAAACCCTGAACCCTAAACCCGACACCCTAAACCCTAAACCCTAAACCCCAAACCCTAAACCCCAAACTCCAGTGCAGAGGTATCGGCTTCTTCATGGGTGGCATTGGCCCCGACGGGCATGTGGCCTTTAACTGCCAAGGCTATCCCAGCGGGGGGAGGGTCCAGGACTCGGGGGTTGTTTTTTTTCCTCGAAGTGTAGAGTTTAGGGTTTAGGGTTTAGGGTTTAGGGTTTAGGGTTTAGGGTGTAGGGTTTAGGGTTTAGGGTTTAGGGTTTAGGGTTATACGGTACCTGAATGTGGTCCCTTACACTCTTCTATGGGTTCTGAAGTCCTGGCCCTTGGGTTTATGGCGCATATGATGGGTCCCCATTGTAGGGCCCATACTAAGGGACCATGTCACTGGCCTTACAGATCTAAAGGTGGAAGACGGGCTCAGGGTTATATGAGGCTTTGGGGTTATGCAAGGGTTTAGGGCTATATGAGGCTTTAGGCTTATGCAAGGGTTTAGGGCTAGGCTTAGGGTTCCAAGGGATAGATAAGAGTTTCGGGATTCAGGGTTGTTCTAGGGTTTGGGCATTAAAGCTAGGGTTTAGGGGTTCTATATGCGTGTAGAGTTACATACGGCGTCCCTCTTCTTCCCCTCCTTCCTGCACACCGGACTGCCTCCAACGCAACCCCCGCCGGGTTTAGGGTTTGTGCGGGTTTAGGGAGTTTACGGGTTTAGGGGCGTAAGGGGTTTAGAGTGGGTTCAGAGTGGGTTTTGGGGTTTAGGGTGGTTTTAGGGGGGGTTTGAGGTTGAGGGCTCTAGAGGTTCAGGGTTGAGGGATATAGGGGTTCAGGGATCGAGGGTTTCAGGCGGTTTAGGTGTTTAGGACTTAGGGTTTAGGGTTCAAGCATTCAGTAGTCAAGCTCGCTACCCTGGTATCGAGTATCTACCCACCCACCCACCCTTTGGATCCCGGAAACTATTTCTTCGTTTTGATGAACCCTAGACCTTAAACCCTGAACCTTGAACCCAAAACCCTAAATCTAAGGGGGTGGGCGGGTGGCCGCCGACTATTTACGCAGTTGGTTTTGGGATCCGGTGGTCGGCAGGTTGCGACCATTTCGCCACTACGCGGCTGGTGGCCTGGCTTGCAACAAGGCGCGCGCGCGCGCGCGCGCGCGCGGGGCGCGTGGGGCGCGCGCACCGGATTCAAGGTTTGCTCAAAGCAGACATGCCCTAAGATACTATCGCGAGGGGAGGGGGGGCTGTTAAGGAGTTTGCCGCAGTATGCCTTCAAAGAACTTTGCCAGGGCCAGGGCTTCTCCCCGAATGCAAGAAGCCGTAGCCTGGCTGGTGAGACCGGTAATGCAACCAAACGTCCCGGGGGCTTTTGGGTATTTGATTCCAGATGCAATGCAAGCATGTCGTCAACACCCTATCCCAAATCCAAAACCCTACAAGCCCTCTAAACCCTAAACCCTGCAAGAAAGCCTTCCGAGTCGGGTAGAAATGAACCCAGAACAACCCGATAAACCCCCATAAGCACTCTAAACCCGAGAAGCTCGAGAAAGCCCTTTCAACCCTCTGAAGTCTGAAAATCCTACACCCTAAACCCTGAAACCTTAAACCCCGAAACCCTGAAACCCTGAAACCCTAAACCCCAAACCCCAAACCCTAAACCCTAAATCCCTTCTCTTACCCCCTTGGAGATCTCAGGATCAGCTCAACTACGCTTCCCAAGCCGCCGCAGCCGGTGATCTGGGCGGCATCGAGACTGTGCGCAGACGCAAGGACCGGGCCCCTTGTTTGGGGTTTAGGGTTTATAGGGTTTATGGGGTTTATAGGGTTTAGGGTTTCTGGGTTTCAGGGTTTCAGGGTTTCAGGGTTTCAGGGTTTAGGGTTTCAGGGTTTCAGGGTTTGAGGGTTTAGGGTTTAGGGTTTCAGGGTCTCAGGGTTTCAGGGTTGAGGGCAGACGCAAGGACCGGCCCCTGAAGGGTTCGAGGAGTTTGAGGCTTGCGGTTTAGGGTTTAGGCTTAGGGTTTAGGGTTCAGGGTTCAGGGTTTAGGGTTTACGGTTCAGGGTTAGGGTTTAGGGTTTAGGGTTTAGGGTTTAGGGTTTAGGGTTTAGGGTTAGGGTTTAGGGTTTAGGGTTTAGGGTTTAGGGTTTAGGGTTTAGGGTTTAGGGTTTAGGGTTTAGGGTTTAGGGTTTAGGGTTTAGGGTTTAGGGTTTAGGGTTTAGGGTTTAGGGCTTGTACGTTTAGGGTCTCAGTGTAGGGCTTAGGGTTTCGAGGGTTCAGTGTATAGGGGTCTCGATTTTTACGGGTGTTTAGGGTTCAGGGTTTAAGGGTTTGAATGGCAATATGTTTCCAAGGCCTACGGCCCCTGATCCGCAAAGAGCCCAATCTAACCCACGAAGTGTAAGTTCCACATGGCCCCAAACCAGCCCCAGCAAATCCTGAACACCCAAGCGCGGTGAGGTGTCGTTAGGGTTCAGGGTTTAGGGTTCAAGGGTTCAGGGTTTAGGGTTTAGGGTTCTTTCGATACATCTCCTCCTTTCACAGTCAATGCACCACAGCTGTCAAAGGATTTAGGGCTCACTCTGTCTTGAGGTTCAGGGCTTTTCCCTAAACCCTGAACCCCCAAAACCCGCCAAACCCTCTGAAACCTCTAAACCCTAAACAGGCCCTAAACCCTAAACCCTAAACCCTAAACCCTAAACCCTAAACCCTAGGGCCTTGGGGTTTACAGCTTCAGGGACCGCAGGGCGGGGTCTGAGCAAGAGGGGTGGTTAGTATTGGCCCTGAGCCCGAAACTCTGAAGAGTCATCGCCCCTCTTGTGCTAAGCACTGAACCCCCAAAACCCTATGCAAGACCCTCTAAACCCTAAACCCTACACTGTTACACATACCTGACCCCCAACCCTGTGGGCATTCCCTGTGAGTAGAGCTACGGAAGCTCGGCGCGCCGCAGCTTGAAGCGGCCCAAATAACCCGCCCATCACTGGTGAGTGGGCCACCAACCACCGTAAACGCCCTAAGCCCTGAACCCCAAACCCCAAGACAGAACTCCAAACCCGCCACACCCTAAGCCCCAAACCCCAACCCCTAAACTTCAAGTCCCCAAACCCTTAAACCCTAAACCCCCGCACTCTCCAAACTCCAAGCCCTAAACCCCGAAACCCTCAGCCCTGAAGCCTAAACCCTAAACCCTAACCCCTAAACCCTAAACCCCTAAACCCTGGACCCCCAAATACCACGGCAGGTGATCACCATCGGCCTCGGCACCATCACCTACAACCCGAGCCTATATCCTTTTTGGGAATCATCTTTTTATTTTCGTTCATATAAAACCCAAGAGGATATTTAAAACCCTAAGCCCTAAGCCCTAAACCCTAAACCCTAAACCCTAATAAGGTTCTAAGGGGAGTATAGGAGCTGTGTGGCCCTGATCTGCGCGGCGGGGGAGGCCAAAGCGCAGGCAGGGCTTGGGGTTTGGGGCTTGGGGTTTAGGGTTTGGGCGTTTAGGGTTTAGGGTTTGGGGTTTAGGGTTTAGGGTTTGGGGTTTAGGGTTTAGGGTTAGGGGTTTAGGGTTTAGGGTTTGGGGTTTTGGGTTTAGGGTTTAGGGTTAGGGTTTTGACATGGGCCCTTACTCAATTCGGTCCCTTGTCCCCCACCTCATTTAAAGGGTTCTGAAGTATGGGCTCTCAATTTGTATGGGGTATATATGCGCCCGCGTTCCGCGTAATCGACCCCCCCCCCCGGGTATCCCCCCCCCCCCCCCCATGGTAACCCCCCCCAAACCCTGCCTGTTAACCCTAACAACACCACGGGGGGGGGGGGGGGGACAGAGAAGCCTCAGCCTAAACCCCAAACCCTGAACCCCAAGCCCTAAAACTTAAACCCACCAATGAACGACAGGAGGGAGAAGGGTAAACCCGAAACCTTAGCCGCGATAACCCTGAACCCTCAACAGTAAATCCCGCAAAGCCCGACTCAGCCCTAAATCCCACATCCGAATAGTTCCAGCCCGGAAGCCGCACGAAACCCTGAGTCATGAACTCTAAGCCCGAAATCTACCGAAAATAGAATTGGGATAAACAAATCTGCCTTACGTCGCATCTTTGGGATTGCAAAAAACCCCAAAATCCTCAACCCTAAGCCCTAGAAACTGATTCCAGTGCACTCCATAAAGTTACCTTTAGCAACCTTCTTGGGATATTAGGAATAAGGATGTTCCAACTGTTGGGAGTTTACTGTATAATCTGATATCGCATCATCACCTCCACCAGACATGGAGAGCATCTCCAACAGGTTGTGCGGAACGCCGTGCAAGAGCCAGCGCACGTGACGCTCAGCTGAGAATCTACCTCCTCCCCCACCCTGAGCCCCAAACCCTAAACCCTAAGCCCTAAACCCCAAACCCCAAACCATAAACCCTAAACCCTAAACTGCCAGAAAACAACGTGTACACAAGATACACATAAGATAAAGGATGGATAAAGTACAACAAGCCTAACTTGGCCTAGGGTTTAGGGTTGAGGGTTTAGGGTTTAGGGTTTAGGGTTTAGGGGTAAATCCTGGTTGAATTCCCAACCCCTTAAGGCCCAAAACCCTGAACCCTAGACCCAACACCTCCAACCTCAATTCTCAACCCAAACCCTGGCCTGGAACTAAACACCCGGTAACTCATTATGAGCCTCATATAGGGTTTAGGGTTGAGGGTTTAGGGTTTAGGGTGAAGGTCCTTCTTGAGAAAATCCTCAGGGTTCGTATGAGAAATATCGGCTTGTTTCGAGAACAAGGCATTTTCACCAACCAGCTAAACCCTAAACCCTAAACCCTGAGCCCTAAACCCTAAACCCTAAACCTGAACTCTAAACCCTAAACCCTATAAACCCTGAACCCTGAGCCCTAAACCCTAGCCCTAAACCCTAAACCCTAAATGCCACACAGACGAGGAACTTCCCGGCCACTGCGCTGCATCAGCTTCCTTCGGCGGCCTTCTTCGTCACCACCGGCGCGGCAAAGCTACTGGATCGGCGCCACTCTGGCGCAATGGCTTGGCTTTAGGGTTTAGGGTTTAGGGTTTAGGGTTTAGGGTTCAGGGTTCAGGGTTTAGGGTTTAGGGTTTAGGGTTTAGGGTTTAGGGTTTAGGGTTTAGGGTTTAGGGTTTAGAGTTTAGAGTTTAGGGTTTAGGGTTTAGGGTTTAGGGTTTAGGGTTTAGGGTTTAGGGTTTAGGGTCTGGGGCTTCCAGGGTTATTTGGTAATTTTAGGGTTAGGGGTTAGGGCTAATGTGGCTTAGGGTGGTTTAGGGTTAGGGCTTCCAGGCTGAAAAGGGTCTAGGGTATAGGGCTTCCACGGTTATGGGGCTTAGGGTTTAGGGTTTGCAGGGTTGTGGGGTTTAGGGTTCAGGGCTTCCGTTTTGTTGGAATCTGTGATTTTGGGGTTTATGTGGGGTTGTTATAGGGTTTATGTAGGGTTCATCCCGGGTTCATACAGGCTCTATACAGTGTTTGTGGGGAGCTTCCAGGGTTTACGGGGCTCCTGCTGCGCAGTCTGGGGTTTGCAGGGTTGAAAGGATTTAAAGGCCAAACCCCAAACCCTGACCATAAACCCTTGTAAAGCCCTAAAACGCCTAACCCCTAAACCCTAAACCACAAACCCTAAACCCTAAACCCTAAACCGCAGCATCAAAGCCAAAGAAGCCTCTTAGTATCGCTTTCTGCAGGTCAGCTGCAGCTCGTGGAGAGGCGGCGATGTGTGGGTCTGGGAGGGTTTAGGGGTTTAGGGGTTTAGGGGTTTAGGGGTTTAGGGGTTTAGGGGTTTAGGGGTTTAGGGGTTTAGGGGTTTAGGGGTTTAGGGTTTAGGGTTTCGGGTTTCGAGTTCAGGGTTTGGGGTTTAGGGTTTGGGGTTTCGGGTTTAAGGGTTTGTAGGGGCTTCGGGGCTCAGGGGTTTGGGGTTGCACTTAGGACCCGAACCACCTCAAGCCTGAAAAGCGTAGCGTCACACCCTTAACACAAGATGTCGGGGTTACCAAGGTCCCTAAACCGTAGCCGGGTTTAGGGTTTAGGGTTCAGGGGCTAGTGTTTAGGTTTAGGGTTTATTGCTGTAATTGTAAACCCCCTTAACTCTTAAAACCACTAAAACCCCTAAATCCCCTAAAACCCCTAAAACCCCCTAAAGCCCCTAAACCCCCCTGGAACCCCTAAAACCCCTAAGGCCCCTAAAACCCCTAAAACCCCCTAAAACCCCTAAAACCCCTAAGACCCCTAAAACCCCTAAACCCCTAAACCTAACCCTAAACCCTAAACCCCAAACCCCAAACCCCGAACTCCTTAACTTCACCAGGATGCCAAGCATCAGCCCCAGCGTCATCGAGCGCGTGCTGGTCTCGCTGTCCGGACTCCGGCGGAAGAAGAACCTGGTCTTAAGGTTTAGGGTTCAGGGTTTAGGGTTGAGGGTCGAGGGTTTAGGGTTTGGGGTTCAGGGTTGAGGGTTTATAAGGGTTAAGGGCTTAGGGTTTTGGGTTTAGGGTTTAGGGTTTCAGGTTTAGGGTTTCGGGTTTAGGGATCCGGGGCTTGAGGGCTTAGGAGCTCAACTGATCAGGGTTTTCACTGGGGCTTCATCTGTTCCCCCATTTTCTCACAGTCCTGAGTAGGGACTCTAATAGGGGGTACCTAAACCCTAAACCCTAAACCCTAAACCCTAAACCCTAAACCCTAAACCCGATGAAGGACTGTTAGTAGAAGTGGGAACATCCCAACTTTAGGGCTTTAATGGGTTCAGGGTTGCGAACCACGAGGCACTCCAAGTTTTCAGGGTTTAGGGGGTTCGGGTTCAGGGTTTAGGGGATTCGGGTTTGGGGTTGGGGTTTTAAGGTCTGAAGGCGTTTAAATGCTTAAGAGTTTTCAGGTCCCAGCTGCCACGAGCATTTTGTGAGTTCAGGGTTTAGGAGGTCGGGATGCGGCCGGGTTAGGGGTTTAGCTTAGAGAGTTTTCACAAGCCGGAGGGACATCCCAGAACCCTGAATTGCGCAAAGCCCTTGGGTTCAGGGTTTAGGGCTTTAGCGTTTTACCCAGACCCTAAAGCCTCAAACCCTTCCAAGGCTTCTTGACCTCTCTGAAGAGGACCTCGAAGCGTGTCTCCCGGCCTGGATCAGGGTTAGGTGGGTTTAGGGTTTAGGGTTCAGGTTTAGAGTGTAGGATGCTTCAACACTTTCGAATGTAGCCAGAGGGCAAAGGGTTTAGGGTAAAGGGTTTAAGGGAACCCTACTTGGAGGGGCAGGGGACTTAGCAAGTAGGTTATAAGTAAAGTTATAAGAACCCTAAATGGAGTTACCCCAATTATAACCCTACTTATAACCGACTTACTAAGTCCCCTGCCCCTCCAAGTAAACCCACTGATGCAAGCGCCTCTACTGTTCTGCAGACTTTGTGGTTTAGTGTAGTTCTGAAACCCGAGATAGCGGCTGAAACCCTTTATAAACCATGAACCCTAAGACCTAAGGCCTAAGTTTTTTTTTGGGGGGGGGAGCACGTGCCTTGATCGGCCAGCTCAACGTTTCTCACGAATTGCAGGTTCTGTCACGACCTGAGGCTTCAGGGTTCCGGAATGTTGGGTAGGGGAGATCTTAGAGACATTTCCAGAGCTTTTTTCTAGCGCAGAGGTACCCTGTTCCCTTTTTGTTTGGACCACCAAACCCTAAACTTTACACCCTAAGCCACCAAACCCTTCTGAACTCCAAAACTCCTAAACTCCTAAACCCTAAACCCCAAACCCTAAACCCTAACCCCTAAACCCTAAATCATGCAAGTAGAGGTCCGCTGGCTCGTTGTGCCGTGCGGCGGGCCGGGCGCCCGCTGGCTACCCTGGCCGAGGAGGCACCGGCATCGGTTCTTGAGGGTTCGAGGAATTTCAGGGTTTCAGGGTTTCAGGGTTTCGGGGTTTCGGGGTTTCAGGGTTTCAGGGTCTGGCGTTTGAGGAATTTGAGGGTTTCAGGGTTTGAGGGCTTGGGGAATCTGAGGGTTTCAGGGTTGAGGCTTTGAGGCTTTGAGGGTTTGGGGGCCTCTTCAGTAGTTTCGGCCTTCTTTTGGAGGGTTCTGAGCTAAACTCCTGGGGGCAAAGTACAGGACTGTTAGAATTCACTGATAGTGCGAACCCCCTTGCTCCATCCCTAAGCCCTAAACCCTAAACCCTAATCCCTAAACCCTAAACCCTAAGCCCTAAACCCTAAACCCTAAACCCTAAACCCTAAACCCTAAACCCTAAACCCTAAACCCTAAACCCTAAACCCTAAACCCTAAACCGCAAGCCCTCAGTTGCAGAGGCCCCCTGGATTTCGCTCGACCTTGAACTCTATGGGTTCCGTGAATATGGCCCTTTGCCTGCTTGAAAGGGTTCTGAAGTCTGGGCCCTTAATGGGTTTAGGGTTTAGGGTTTAGGGCCTTTTGAGAGGGCATAAGCGGGTTATCTAAGGAGTGCCCATTTAAGGGCCCATACGAAGGGACCCCAAACCAAAAACCGGAAAATATGACGCCCAGAGCCTTTCTTTCGTCTTCGGCGCAGGTTCGGCAGTCGCTGATCAGCGCCTGGGGTTTGTCTCAGAATGAGTAGGGTTTAGGGTTTAGGGTTTAGGAGTGAGGGTGTAGGGTTTAGGGTTCAGGGTTCAGAACAAGGCCTTGGTTTTTGTGAGGTCGGGGGGAGGGGGTGGGTGTTGAGGATTTAGATAGAGTTTGAGGGTTGTGGTTCTTGTTTTTGGGTTTTGGTTCCGGTTCTTGCTTTGAAGAATGAAGTGGGTGTTGGGGTTTAGAGTCAGGGGGGGGGGAGGTCCTGTTGGAGTACAAAAAACATGAAGATGACAACGCCCAGAGGCTGTGCTTTTTCAAAGTACTGGTGCGGGGTGGCCAAAGCATGGAGGTTTCTGGAGCCTGGTTCAGAGCTTAGGAACTGGCTTTAGCTGGGGGTTTGAAATTAGGGTTCCCTGAATTATGGAAGGGTACAGGGATGCCTGACCACATTCGAATCGTTTGGCGGCCGGGTTTAGGGTTTAGGGTTGCGAGTTTGCTTTTGCCGCCCCCGCCCCCCCCCCCCCCCCCCCCCCCCCCGCCCCCCCTCGCCCCCCCCCCTGCCCCGCGCCAAGGCAAAATCGAGCAGGGATGTCGCGTGAGAGAGAACACCAAGCTCCATTGCTGCAGAGAGGGGGAGCAGGGTGTGCAGGGTCGTTTAGGCTCCAGTCTTCCTGCGATGTCCCTACGAAGCATATCCTGGTCTATTGTGGCAAGAAGCTGCTACTCTACTCCGTCCCTGCCTTGTGGTGGAAAGTCAAAACGTCTGCTGGAGCCGAGCTTTCCCCTAAGTCTTCGGATTGAACTCTAAACCCTAAACTCTGAGCCCTAAGCCCTAAGCCCCAAACCTAAACCCTAAACCCTAAACCCTAAACCCTAAACCCTAAACCCTAAACCCTAAACCCTAAACCCTAAACCCTAAACCCTAAACCCTAAACCCTAAACCCTAAACCGAAACTCCGAGCATTCTCCGAGGCCCTCAGCCTCGAAACCGAAGTCCCCAACCACAACCCAAGGGTGCGTGCGGCGCACGTTCGGTGAGGCCCAAGCTAGGGTTTAGGGTTTAGGGTTTAGGGTTTAGGGTTTAGGGTTTAGGGTTTAGGGTTTAGGGTTTAGGGTTTAGGGACTATGACCCCAGTGTAGGCCCTTCTTCCCTTTTGTTTGGGTTCAGGTTCCCCTGTAAGCTTCTTTTTCAACGATAAAGGGCACCCGTTTTGTTCCTAGCCCTAAAACTAAATCTCAAACCCTAAACCCTAAACCCGTTTTGTTTATTCTAAGGTTACTCTAGGGTCTAGTTGAAGCAATTCCAAGGGAGGGGTTTGGGCTTAACCAAACTGGCCGGTTCTTAGTAGGGAACGTAACGAGGGAATGAGGTACCCTTCAAGGGTAGGGGATACATATATATATATATATCCCCTTAAAGGGAATAGGGATTCCCTACAAAGAACCATGGGGAAGAGTCATCGCGAGGAACGATGTCTTAAGTAGTCTACTGTCGCAAACTGGGAGACCAAGCTTCGAAATCGCTAAGCCCTAAACCCTAAACCCTGAACCCTGAACCCTGAACCCTGAACCCTAAACCCTAAACCCTAAACCCTAAACCCTAGCCCTAAACCCTAAACCCTGACATTCATCATGGGGATCCTCTGCCAAGGTTCTTGCACACAGAGCCTCACCATGACGATGCTCGGCTGTGACAAAAAAAACCAAACCCTAAACCCTAAACCCTAAACCCTAAATTTAAGAGCCTCCGGCTCAAGCCGCCGACCCCGCTGGAGCATAGTTGAGAGGTCTAAACCCGCTCGCATGGTTGGAAGATATCTGGGGCGGGGTAGGGGGTAGCACCAAGACAAGGGGTGGGGGGGGGTTGGGGGGGGGGGGGGGGGTAGGGGGGGGGGGGGGGGGAGGGTCGCTGAGTGGGGGGTGGGGGGGGGGGGGGGCGGTGGGGGGGGGGGGGGGGGGGGGGGGGGGGGGGGGGGGGTGCGGGGGGGGGTGCGGGGGGAGGGTGGGGGGGGGTGGGATGGGGGGTGTTGGGTGGGGGGGGGGGTGCCCAAAACGCTGATTTTGCTGAGGGCGCCCCTACCCCCCCTGTGCTGAACCGCCTGTTTACGCTGTGCGGGTGGCGCGGTCCTCCACGAAAAATCGACCCCCCCCACGAGGGAGGTTTTCACCTCCTTTTCCCATCAACACGCCGCCAGGGTCGGCGGACCCTAAACCTTAAACCCTAAACCCTAAACCCTAAACCCTAAACCCTAAACCCTAAACCCTAAACCCTAAACCCTCCCCTAAACCCTCAACCCTCAACCCTAAACCCTATAAACCCTATAAACCCTGAACCCTGAGGCAGAGGGCCTGGGGCTGCAAGCCCAAAGACGAACCCCCAAAAGCCTTGAGGCTTGGACCTGAAGCCCTATAAAACCCTAGAAAATACCCTTGAATATTAAAGGGTTATATTACAGGGTATATTACTTACAGGGTATGTTACAATTTTAGAAAGTACCCTTGAATATTGTATATTACAGGGTATTTTGCAATTTTAGAAAATACCCCTGAATATGAAAGGGTATATTGCAGGGAAAATTACAGTGTATTTTACCCGGTTTTAGAAAACACACTTGAATATTAAAGGGTATATTGCAGGGGATATTACAGGGTTTTTTACAAGGTTTATTATCGGGTATATTTTTAGGGTGAATAGGGTATATTCCAGGGCCTTTAGGGTATATGAGAAGGGTTTATAGGGTATAAAACCTCGAAGTCTAAAAAGGCTTACCTAAACCCTAAACCCTAAACCCTAAACCCTAAACCCTAAACCCCAAACCCGCCAGGACATCATGCTGGGCTACCTCCCAGCAGTTATGCGCAACACGCGGGTGGCCTCCAATCGACACCACTTTGTCTGCGCCACCAGCGGCTTCAACTCGGCTCCCTCAGCCGTTTAGGGTTTAGGGTTTAGGGCTTAGGGCTTTAGGACTTTAGAAGTGTAGGAGTTTAGGGTTTTTAAGGGGCCCAAAACCATAAACAAATAGCCCTGGGTCTAGGCTAAGGGCTACTGAATCCTAAGCCTAAACTCTGGCACACGTGCAGTCCCTAACATGTAGGATTCTGCACCGGAGCTTGCTGCTCATTTTTTGTTTTTGATAGGTATAGGGCTAAGGACCGAACATCCGCCAATTCCTAAACGAGCCGAGGTTTCGAACACCCACATGCTGAAGATGTTGGCACGCGTGGAGACCAGGAGGCGATAGTGATACAGTGAAATTGGGTTTAGGGTTTAGGGTTTAGGGTTAGGGTTTAGGGTTTAGGGTTTAAGGGGCTTCCGAAGTTGGGGAGTGCCCATATTGGGTTCCTGAGTCTAAGGGGATCCTACTGCTTGGAGATATCTTGGGGTTCCGGCTAGTTTGGTAAACCCCATACTCCCTTTTTTCCCGCGCTGAGTTTTCTGGGTTGAGGGTTTTGAAGGGTTGTTTTTCAGGGCTGGGGGCTCAGGACTTTGGATCTTCAGCAAGTCTGACCACCAGGGCACCTCCGAACCCTGAACCCGAAACCCTAAACCCTAAACCCTAAACCCTGAACCCTGAACCCTGAACCCCAAATTACTGGGCTACCGAGGAGAGTTTCCTGTCCACGCCGACGTTTGAGCGCCTGGCCAAGGACTTCCAACTTGCAAGGGGGGTTTTGGATTTAGGGTTTAGGGTTTAGGGTTTAGGGTTTAGGGCTTAGGGTTTAGGGTTTGGGGTTTAGGGTTTAGGGCAAGCGGTTTAAGACGCTTAGGGTTTGGGTATTACAAGGGTTCGGGGCTAAGACTTGCGGGTGCGAGATTCAGGGTTCAAGCTTTAAGGGCCCTAAACCCTAAACCCTAAACCCTAAACTGTCAGGGTTTAGGGGTAATTGAGCCTGGTCCAAAGTTTAAAGGAGTGGGCCTCATTGACGAGAAAGAGCGTTGCTTTTTGGACAGGTTGTTGATCTGACATTCGGGCTTCATGGGTTTAGGGCGTAGGGTTTTGGTTTTGGGTTGGGGGGAGGAGACATAGCCCTCGAGCTTTTAGGCCCCCCCCCCCCCCCCCCCCCCGCCCTTACAACCTTTGCTCAGGAGGGCTGCAGGACTACAGGGGGCATAGGGGGTTCAGGGTTTAGGGTTTAGGGTTTAGGGTTAGGGTTTAGGGTTTAGGGTTTAGGGTTTAGGGTTTAGGGTTTAGGGTTTAGGGTTTAGGGTTTCGGGTTTCGGGTTTCGGGTTTAGGGTTTAGGGCTTAAGGGGGTGTTTCAAGGAGGGCTATTTTGGACCATCCTCCCTGGACTTCCGCCGGCGCGATGTGTGGAAGTGCCCTCGGCTGACAGAACCGGAAGAATGCGAGGGGTCCCAAAGGTTTAGGGTTTAGGGTATTTTAGGGTTTAGGGTTTAGGGTTTAGGGTTTAGGGTTTATGGTATAGGGTTTTAGGGTTTCGGGTTTACGGGTTTACGGGTTTACGGGTTTACGGGTTTAGGGTTTGGGGTTTCGGGTTTAGGCTTTAGGGTTTGGGGTGCGGTGGCTTTTCATGAACCCTAACCGCAAGATGTGGCGCAGGTCTTCAGAAACGATCCACATCCATCAAACGCTAAACATCTTGGCCCCCTAGCCCCCTTCACCCCACAAAGCCCACGACCCAACAACCCCGCCAACCCTAAACTCTCAGCTGCCCACCCTGGACCCCAAGCCCGTCAAACCCTTTGCAAACCCTTTACGAAAGCTTCAACCCCAAACCCCAACCCCCAAACCCCAAAACCTAAACCCAAAACCCTAAGCCCCCAGAACCTAAACCCTAAACCCTAAAACCCTAAACCCCCAACCTTAAACCCTAAGCTCCAAACCCTACACCCAAAACCCCAAACCCCCAACCTTAACCCAAGAAAAACATGTCAGGTTCCTTGATGGCATCGCGGCTGCCGACGACGAGCTGCGGGATGAGGGCGCTGCTAGGAGGTGCCTTGAAGGGGGTTTAGGGTTTTAGGGTTTTAGGGTTTGAGGGTTTAGGGTTGAGGGTTTAGGGCTTTGGGGTTTGGGGCTTGAAGGTTTAGGGGTTAGGGTTTAGGGCTTTAAGGTTTAGGGCTTTAGGGTTTGGGGCTTGAGGGTTTAGGGGTTAGGGTGTAGGGCTTTAGGGTTTAGGGCTTTAGGGTTTTGGGCTTGAAGGTTTAGGGGTTAGGGTTTTGGGCTCTAGGGTTGGGGCTTTAGGGTTTGGGCGTGAGGGTTTAGGGTTTTAGGGTTTGAGGTTTTAGGGTGTAGGGTTGAGGGTTTACAGGGTTTAGGGTTTATAGGGTTTATGGATTATAGGGTTTAGGGCTTGTAGGGTATTCCAAATCCTAAACCCTAAACCCTAAAAGACCTTTAGGGGCACAACCTTAGGGGTACGAGTCTTGATCCAGTGAGATTTTTTGGGTTTAGGGTTTGTTGCAGGGGTTTAGGGGTTTAGTGGGTCATGGGTTTAGTCGGTTGGAAAGGATTGTCTCCTAAACCCTAAACCCTAAACCCTAAACCCTCAACCCTATAGGGCTCTGTGGGGTGGATGTGCCCAGCCTTTCTTGCAAAACTCCTGCTTGCCGAGGCGTTCAGGGTCATGAATTAGAGGGTTCAGGCTGGGTGTGGCATGAAGGTAGGCCTAAACCTAAACCCTAAACCCTAAACCCTAAACCCTAAACCCTAAACCCTAAACCCTAAACCCTAAACCCTAAACCCTAAACCCTAAACCCTATAAACCCTAAACCCTAAACCCTAAACTCAGGCTAGTCTACAACCTGTCTGTCATCTTCGGGGATTCCGCCGGTACTGGCGACGCGAGCAAGCTCATGGAGCGGGTGGCCACCTTGAGCCTTGGAGGTCGTTAGGGTTTAGGGTTTAGGGTTTTGGGTTTTGGGTTTAGGGTGTAGGGTTTAGGGTTTAGGGGTTTACATCAGGTGGTTCTTTCTGAAGTAGACCCTAAACCCTAATTCCTCAAGCCTACAAAACCCTGTTCGGGCTCATTGTGTCTTCAAGGAAGAGTTACTTCTCCAAGCAGTACGCTGGGCAGAAGGATGTGAAAGAGGCGGGGCGGGGTTTTATCAACATCATAGGCCCATTTTGGGCACCCTAAACCCTGAACCCTGAACGAATAGGAGTCTACTATACCTGTTTTGGTACCCAAACCCAAAGCTGTTATCTCGACACGACAATAGACACCCCGAACAATGTTCCTTTTGGGGGACCCAGAATTACGGAACACACTATTGTGAGATTCCCAAAAGCAGTATCCCCTAACCCTCAACCCCAAACCCTAAACTCTAAACCCTAAACCCTAAACCCCTAAACCCCTAAACCCCTAAACCCCTAAACCCCTAACCCCTAAACCCCTAAACCCCTAAACCCCTAAACCCCTAAACCCCTAAACCCCTAAACCCCTAAACCCCCAAACCCTAAACCCTAAACCCTAAACCCAAACCCGAACCCCGAAACCCCTAAACCCTAAACCCTAAACCCTAAAGCGCAGGTCCAGATCCTCAAAGGGGCCTGCCGGGAGTTCGAGGCTGAGTGTGTCTGGGGCTACATTGGCTGGCAGCTGCCGCACATCTCACACCTACGACTTGGCTGCCCGGTGTAACTTTATAGGGTTTAGGGTTTAGGGTTTAGGGTTTAGGGTTTAAGGCTTTTTAGGGTTTTTAGGGTTTCGGGTTTTTAGGGTTTAGGGTCTAGGGTTGACATTTATTGTTTTTGTTGTTCTCTGATTTGGGGTTTCAAGGGGCTGTTGGTTAGGTCTAGGGTTCTAGGGTTTAGGGCTTTTGGCTTTAGGTTTCTACACGGCCGACATCTTTGCACCGGAGCCCACGCAGCAGCGCGACGTGCTTCCGATTCTGACGCCTGGGTCGGCCTTGGGGACGAAATGAACCCCGAAAGGGTTTAGGGTTGAGGGTTTAGGGTTTAGGGTTTAGGGTTTAGGGTTGAAGGGGTTCATGGCTGATCCACCACCTTAAGAGGCATTAGAGAGTGCGGGGTGTAGGGTTTCGGCCTTAGGGCTTAGGGTGTATATGGTCCGTCAACCCTACTGTACATCCTAAGCCCTAAACCCTAAACCCCAAACCATTTGCAGGCTGCATCTAAGCCCCCCCCAAAGTAGAAGGCTCTTCCCTTCCTCTGGAAAAAATCCTCTCAAGTGCTTCGGATCAAGGGTGGACCTGCCAGAATTCCAGGCCAAGGATGCGCCTTCAGGGCCCAGGGTTTAGAGGATGTGTAGGGTTGAAAGAGTCTAGGGCTTAGGTACAGGGCTCCAGGGTTTACAGGGTTTACAGGGTTTAAGGGTTTACAGGGTTTAGGGTTTGTAGGCTTTTTCGGAATAGAGGGTTCAGGGGTTCTAGGGTTTGGGGTTCATCGGAGTGAGGTTTTGTTGGGTTCAGGGTTTAGGTTCTAGCCCGATCACATCAAAGTTTGCCCATGTTTATTTCACTAAGTTGTCTTTTCCGCTCAATCCCCACCCCGCTGTATCATTCAATTTAGGGTTTAGGGTTTGGGGGGTTAGGGCTTAGGATGTAGGGCTTGGGCCTTTTTAAAGTCTACAGCCGCCTAAGCTCAGATTCCGATAGAACCTCCCCCACCCAAGCGCGTAGTTCAGCCCACTTACGCGCGGAGCGTCATCTGTATAAGTTATGGGCTATCTTCGGGCTAAACCTAAGCCCGTAAACCCTCGACCCAAACCGCTAGTAAACCCTAAACCCCAAACCCCAAACCCCAAACCCCAAACCCTAAACCCTAAACCCTAAACCCAAACCCCAAACCCCAAACCCTAAGCCCTAAGCCCGAAACCCTAAACCCCAAACCCCAAACCCGAAACCCAAACCCGAAACCCGAAACCCCAAACCCCAAACCCCAAACCCCAAACCCCAAACCCCAAACCCCAAACCCCAAACCCCAAACCCCAAACCCCAAACCCCAAACCCCAAACCCCAAACCCCAAACCCCAAACCCCAAACCCTAAACCCTAAACCCTAAACCCTAAACCCTAAACCAAAGGAAGCTCCTGCGGGAAGTGGAGCCAGATGTGGTCAGTGTGGCTCTAGACCCCGAAGCGTCGGGTCCAGACACCCATTACAAGGTGGGGTTTAGGGTTTAGGGTTTAGGGCTTGGGGTTTAGGGTTTAGGGCTTAGGGTTTTGGTTTCAGGGGTTTAGGGTTTCCGGTTTTTGCCACCTGCACACGGTTTTGGGGGTTTTAGGAAGGGGGCGGTTCTTGGGAGGCTTGCGGCCTGAAAGTTGAAAGCCCTCAATTTAACCCTGAAGCCTAGAAAGCACAAAGCAATACCCTAGGCGCCCTAAACCCTAAACCCTAAACCCTAAACCGTAAGAGAAGACCTGGAGCCCTTTTTCCAACGTTTCTACAACCTGTAGATACAGCCCCCCGTGGTCCCACACAAGGGGCCCCTCCTCTTGTCGCGAAGGGTTGAGGGTTGCGGGGTTCTAGGCGTTGTAGGGGGTTTAGGGTTTAGGGTTTAGGGTTTAGGGTTTAGGGTTGAAGGAGTTTAGGGTTGAAGGAGTTTAGGGTTTAGGGTTTAGGGTTTAGGGTTTAGGGTTTAGGGTTTAGGGTTTAGGGTTTAGGGTTTAGGGTTTAGGGTAGGGACGCTTCGGGGTTGAATGCTTTTGTCAAGCAGTGGGTGGCTTTCGAGGCTTCAGTGTCTGTAGGAGGCTTTGGGCTAGGTAGTCCAGGTCTTTCCCTTTGCCGGCCAGGGGAGACTCTAAACCCTAACCCTAAGCCCTAAACCCTAAACCCTAAACCCTAAACCCTAAACCCTAAACCCGACATATCCTGGGACTTCAGGGCCCCAAAACCGCACCACTCCCTGAGCAGCAGGAGTGTGCAGAATGGTTTTGGTTCAAGGGTGTTTTGTATGACCTACACCCGAAGCCATAAACCCTAAACCCTAAACCCTAAACCCTAAACCCTAAACCCTAAACCCTAAACCCCAAGAGTTTCGTTGGGCGCAGGTGCTGCAGGCCGCCACGGCTGGCCTGCAGCAGTATGCCGAGGAGAGCGCGGGTCCATCTGTGACCCTAAACCCGATTTAGGGTTTAGGATTGAGGGTTTAGGGTTTAGGGTTTTGGGTTTTGGGTTTAGGGTTTAGGGTTTAGGGTTTTGGGCCATAAGGGCCATAAGGGCGCCACAAACATGAGCACTCTGGCTACGGTTCTTGGGGTTTCTTAGGGTTTCTTAGGGGTTGAGCATGGGCTTCCTGGATTCAGGGCTTCTTGAAGCTTAGAGCTTGGCGAGCTGCTGGATTTTCGGCTTCCCTTGTGTCCCATGGCTCAAAATTTGCGTTTAGGGTCGAAGGTTTAGGGTTTAGGGTATATGCTGTTAGGGTTCAGGGTTCAGGGTTTTGAGTTTTAAGCTCACGCGAAAGGAAACCATCGCTCAGACCTGTCCAGCGCCTGAGCGTGAGTATGCTGAACACTAGACCCTAATCCTAAACCCTAAACCCTAAACCCTAAACCCTAAACCCTAAACCCTAAACCCTAAACCCTAAACCCTAAACCCTAAACCCTAAACCCTAAACCCTAAGCCCTAAACCCTAAACCCTAAACCCTAAACCCAGGCCCTGCAGTCTGGCGCTGGGCCGAAACCCACCAGATGCCAGACAACCAGCAGCTCTACATCCGCCGAATCCCTCATTCAATCCGACACCCAAAGCCCAAAACCCTTAAGCCCCAAACCCCTAAAAACCTGAACCCAACCCCCCCAACCCACCCCCCCAACCCCCCCACCCCCCCACCCCCCCCACCCCCCCAACCCCCCCACCCCCACCCCCAACCCAGCCCACTCGAACCTTAGAGTTTTTGGACCTTCCCATTCGGGGGCTGGTTTAGGGTTTAGGATTTAGGGTTTCGGGTTTAGGGTTTAGGGCCATATGCCAGGTCATATGCCGCGTATAGTATAGTCCTTCGATTTCAGGACTCAGGACTTGAGCGTTTTCTGACTCACGGCTTCAGGGTTCTGAGGAACCCTAAACCCGAAACCTTAAACCCTAAACACTAAACCCTAAACCCTCAACCTAAACCCTAAGCCCTAAGCCCTAAACCCTAAACCCCTAACGCCCATGCCTGGCCAGGAGACCGGTCGCCAGGACATCACTGTATGGGGTTACCGCAATGTGTGGTTCCGTTTCGAGCCGCACGAGGCTTGTCCAGTTCAGGGTTTAAGGTTTAGGGTTTAGGGTTTAGGCTTTAGGGTTTAGGGTTTAGGGTTTAGGGTTTAGGGCCCCGGGTTCGTAGGCCGCACAGACAAATGGATGGGCACAAGGTGTATGATCTTTATAGCTGTAGCAATGCCCAGAGCACCCTTTGTAAAATTGGGGCAAGTTTGCGGTTAACCGTAGATCCCCAAGACCTTTAGTTTCACAGAGTCCTAGCACAAAGCTTCCTTCGGAAAGCCTTATAGAGCTGCAGGTTTCTGTGGTCTGGGGTATAGTACCTTGAACACGCTCTAAACCCATGCCAAACCACACCACAGCCTCAAACACCCTGGATTCTGCCCAAACGAACACCAACCCCCCCCCCCCCCCGGGGCGTTTTTCCTGTGCCGCTAAAGCCTTTTCGCCGAAATTCTCGCGAATATTTGAGACACATGGCCTTAGGTGGGCGCGGGGGGGGGGGGGGGGCGGGAATTCGGTTGCTTAAGGCTTTAGAGTTTATAGAGGCTGAGGTTAAGGCGGTTCAGGTTTGTGGCTCAGGGTTTGCGCATCTTCTTCATCTTCATCCTCGCTGGCTGCTGCTGCCTCATACGTGGATGCACCTGTCTTGAAAAGGCATGTGGCTTATAAGGATGTAATGTAAGAAAAGCAGCCCAACGCTTTGGACTGACATGAGTTTTCAGCAAAATGCCTGAGGCAGCAATGTTGGCCGCATGCTTAGCGGGTACTTGACAATACCTTGGGCAGGGAAAGGTCTTTTCTTCTTTGATTCACATCCAGCTTTGCAGCAGTCAGTGCAAAGTGGCGCTCAAGGCCTCTATTTTGGACGATGACGACGACGAAGATGGTGACTCGCCCCGAAACGAGTGGTCAGCTGCAGTCAGCACCCAGCGATGTTTTCCTTGCTTGAGGTCGCGCCCTTCCATCTCAGTTCGAGTCTGTTTCCCGAAGCTCCACACAGGTGTGCCACCAGACGTGGACACAGTTGCTGCGATCGCTGAGCCTCACGCGGAGGCAGAAGAAGCAAGCGAAGAACAGGAAGAAGGCATGGTGGTTGTGTCTGGCATTCTAGAAGCTGCTAAGGGTCGAGTTTACTCGACACGGGAGAGACGTCCAGTCTGACAGCTTCGAAAGGTTTTAGCCCAGACGTTTGAGGACTGCGTCTGCCTTGCCGATCCGGGTCTCGAGGGTTTGCAGACACTGCTTGTGGAACGCGCTTGACATTTCAATGGAACCTTTTGGCATCAGCTAGCAAGTATTGAGAGGAGGACAACTGGACAGCGTGTCAACAATGCTTTCGTTAGCTGCAAGCTGGTAGGAGACTTCCAAACCCAGGATGCTGGTCCCATGAGTCCCATGATGATGCTGCTGCTGATTACCATGCTGAGGCTGTTGCCGTAGATGATGCCAAATCTGTTGCCGCTGTTGTTATTGGTTGTTATTGGGATTGCTGTTGCTGGTGCTGCTGCTGCTGCTGCTGCTGCTGCTGCTGCTGCTGCCGCCTCTGCTGCTGCCTCTGCTGCTGCCACTGCTGCTGCTGCTGCTGCTGCTGCTGCTGCTGCTGCTGCTGCTGCTGCTGCTGCTGCTGCTGCTGCTGCTGTTGTTGCTGCCACTACTGTTCGGGTTGTTTGTTTTGTTGTTAAAAGTGATCTTCGGATTTCCTCACTGACATCTTGTGAGTTCTTGGCTATGTTGTCTTCTTGTTGCTCTTGGATCTTTTCTTCGTGCTGCTCTTGTTGATGCTGCAGTGGTTGTTGTTGTTGGTGGCGGTGGAAGATGAGGCGGACGCAAAGTGGTTGTAGAAGTCGCACCCTTCCCGTATCCAGAAGCTCTTTGTGTAGCTTACTTGGACGGCTCTTTTTGTTGCGAAGTGTGACATTGCCGTACCTTTTGCGGGGGAGTAGTTGGTTCACATCTCTCGCGTAAGCTAGATAGAAATGCGCTCTGAAGGTATTGCAAGTAAAAAAAGCCACACGCCTTCCCGGGTGTTGAAACAACAAAAAAATGAGCATGAAGCAAGATCACGGTTCGGGCAAAGTCTTGCAAAAGAACCCGCAATCTCTCGTCTCTTCTTTCGTCCAGTGAACTGACCAAGCGCTCTGAGGGCGCTGCAAGTCAAATAAGCTCCTTGCCGTGTGATAGCATGAGAAACAATCACGGCAGGGGCAAAGACTTGCAAAAGACGCAGTCCCATGAAGAGGCCAGACACCGAAAGAAAGATACAAGTACAAATGCAAAAACAAAACAAATAAGAACACCAATACACACACAGACAATATACACACACGCACGCACGAACAGGATCAGGGTCTTTGCGAAATAGAAACTGTTGTTTGGTATCCCAGGGAAGTAGAAACACAATGGCCTAACGCGTAAGGCATCGCTCCTCTGCTGCATATCCCAAGTATGCAAGATTTCAATTCCTCCTGGTATCTTCTTTTCCCTTTGACCGTGCTACGCAAACTCCAGGATCAACTAAAGCCGAAGCTTTTTTTGTTTCTTTTTATCGTTTCTTGAAAAAAAGTTGTGACTCAGAAAGCTCGCCAGCATCGAAGATCCGCACGCTCAGCAAGGCGTAACGCAGGAAAGCGCGCCCGCCCAGCAAAGGACAAAAAAGAGAAACCAAGCGGTCTGTGACAAAAATGGCGCGCCAGCCGACAACCTTTGTCAAAAAGCAGGAGAAAACGATAAAAAGAAAAAGGAGAAACAAGAGGAGAAAGACAAAGAAAAGAGAAAAAGACAAGAAGGAACAAAGAGAGCGACAGAAGAGGCGGAAAAAGACACACGGAGAGGAGAACAGAAGAGAAAAGAGGCGGAGCGCCAGCCCGGCACCGGCCAACACAATGCTCATTTGGAGCGGCCCGGCAAGGATCTGGCAACATGTGGCTGTGTACTGTACCTAGCGAGGCAATGTAGCGTTCTATTTGAGAGCTCTCACTAGAGATCTCATTGGAGCACTCTCTGCCGTTCCCCGGCCGCTCTCTGCAATGCACGCGGTGCTAGCAGAAGGCGGCGCACATTGTTTGTGTCGTGCGTCAGAGCCGTACGGGCGCTGGGCGTCTTCCTCAGCTCGCCAATCCGAACACGCGGACTCTCCGCGTCACTAGGAGGGCATAGACACCGCGTTCCTATCTGCGGTGTCAGGGAGGGCAGGTGGCGCGACCTGCGGGCGTTTGACCGTCGTGTTTACAGTGACCCTATAACTCCAACCAGGTTCACGGACCCCAAGCTGCAAACCCACATGAGCCTGGTTTCAGAGCCCGAGAGAAAAAAGGTCCAGATTTCAGAACCCAGATGAGCCTGCGTTTGCCAGACCTCCGAAAACGGGTTCCCATGTCAGGCCGTCGACTCCACGTCGAAAAAATGAGCCTCGCCCCTTCAGGCCCCTAGTAAATGCGTCTTGCAAGGACCGCGAACTTGCTTAACTCATCGGGCCGCGCATCCGCGCGACACGGCTAATTTCTTACTCGGCTTCGCTCTGCGCGCCTTCACTGTCGCCGTGTCAGTGCCCTTCATGAGAGACGCCAGCCTCCTTTTTTTGTGGACCTGATGTTTTCAACCTCGAAAAGCAGGCTCTCTTTTCCGGACCTCTTTGTTTCAAACCAGAACGTCGGACTCGCAGTCGAAGCTCGCCTAAAGCCCCTTCAACCCCTCTTCCCTGTGCAGAGCAGAGTGCAGAGCAGAGTAGGCACACATGTCACATGTCCACTTGCTTTTGCGCAGCGGTGCTGTCTGAAGACTTTCTTGTCCCAAGCTTGCGACCGCGAACGTGCCCCGCCTCTCTTGTTTGTGTCCGTCAGAACCTGAGACGTCAACGCGTTAGCGCTCGCCATGCACTGCAAACCGCGCAGAACGCGCAGATCGGTGAGGTTGATATTTTGAGCATGGCCCTCAACCGTCGCCCATCTACAGACGCAGAGGCCTTGCTCAGCTTCCTCATTGTGTTGTGTTCCGTGACGGGTGACCCAGCGCTATAACAAGTGGGTGTACGAGCAGCTCCGAGCTGGCAAAGAGCCGATCGCTGCGCACAAAGAGGCTCGTCTGCTGGTCAGTCTTTAAAATAGGACAGAAGCTTGCTGGCCTTTCAGGCGCTGGTGACCATCCTCGACGGCGAGCTGCGCAAGATGATCCGCCTGCACTTGAGGCCTGTGCTTCAACTCCAAGTTGCTTTTCGCAAGATGTTTTGTTTGCATTGCAACATCTGGCAGGGCGTATCTCCGCGCGGTGAGATCATGGATTCGGTGAAGTACACGCGCCGCAACCGTAAGTTAAAAAAAGGTCCGGATCGTTTTGAGGGAGGTGTTTTGGTGTGTTGCTGCCCGGCATTCACGCGTGGTGCACGGTCACGCTCGTTACATGTCCAGTGCAGGGTTTGCGTGCGCGTCGTTCCACAACTTTGCCAGCATTTCAAGGCGCAGGCGCGCTCACACTGCCCACAAAGCAAAACCAGCGTTTCATATCCAAGGTTCCTTGAGAACCGAGGGTCCTAAACCCACGCTTTAGGGTTTAGGGTGTAGTTGTTTAGGGGTTTAGGGTTTAAGGTTTAAGGCTTTAGGAAAGCTTGCACCCTCAACTCTAAATCCTAGCAGGGTTGGGATGGTCCCCCTTATACTAACAGTCCTTAATCGGGAGGATAATAGGGGCTACTATCATCCCTTTTAAGGACTGTTAATACAAGGGGGGCAACGTCCCAACCAAAACCCTAAACCTTATAATCGCTAAGCCCTGAACCCCAAACCCCAAACCCTAAACCCAAAACCCTTAACCCGAAACCCTAAACCGGCTGTTAGCACAAGGGGGAACATCCCAAGTGTGGGGATAAAAGCGAGCTCAGGAAGTGAGCACCATCATTCCCGTCTCGCTTCAGACGATCTCCACGCTGATTCCTGGATGGGTTTAGGGTTCAGGGTTCAGGGTTTAGGGTTTTGGGTTTTGGGTTTAGGGTTTTGGGTTTAGGGCCTAGGGCCTAGGGCTTAGGGTTTTGGGTTTTTGGTTTAGGGTTTAGAACCCCTAAACCCTAAACCCCAAATCCCATGCCAGAGGTTTAGGATGCAAGCCTGTGGCATTTCACCGTTGAGGAACACCCCGAAGCCCTCCCCTAATCTGGCCCTCTCACGTACTTCTCTAAGCCCTAAACCCTAAATCCAAAACCCTAAATTTCTGGTCGCCACTCTTGTTCGTCGCTCTTGTTGTTTGTTCGTGTCTTTACGTCGTATGAACTCGTTTGTTCTCTGTCTTTTTGTTTTTGTTTCTTGTGGCTGTCATTTCTTCAATACATATGGGCGGGCCAGTACATCTATATGGGCTAAACCCTAAACCCTAAACCCTAAACCCTAAACCCCAAACCCCAAACCCCAAACCCCAAACCCCTAAACCCAAAACCCTAAACTCTAAACTTGGGAGGCTGCAGGGTTCAGGACGCAGCACAAACCCCAAACCCTAAGCCATGAACCTTAAACTCTAAACCCCAAACCCGAAACCCTAAAGGCCCTAAATGCCCTAAAGGCCCTAAAACCTAGACCCAAAACCGTCTACCCCAAAAACCTCAACCCTCGACTCTAAACCCTAGTCCCATTCTAGGAACCACATGTTCTTGAACTCCTTCGAGTCGCAGCGCGACGCCGAGTTTCCAGCCTACGAGATCCAGGGGCCATTCTGCGCCATGAGCCAGCGCGTGCAGGTGCAGCAGTATGACATGATCCTTGGCCGGCATGTTTAGGGGTTTAGGGTTTAGGGTTTAGGGCTTAGGGGATGTAATTCCGGACCATCCAGGACAGATGAGGTGTGTTTTTGGAGTGCCTGACAGCCCAGATAGTTTAGGTGTATCTATCTATGCTCCTTGATAAGACCATGGACACACCTAGCCTGTCCTGACGAGCCTGAAGCATGGGTTCCGCTACTACCACCCTCTATATAAATAGGGCTATTTAGGGAGAACCAAGCTTAAGTAAGGTCATTTAAGGGTGGAACCTGGGGGTTAAACCTAGGCGGGGGTGGTCCAGAGTGGGGTAGTAGGGAAACCCATGACTTAAGCACGGCTAACCTATCTAGGAGTCAGGGTTTAGGGTTTATGGTTTAGGGGCTAGGGTTGAGGCTTACCGCGGTGTCCAACTCTGTGTAAG